ATTTATAACATAGTGCGATATAAATAATAGAACAGCATATCATATTGATGAGTCAGAGATAACCCTGAACTCACACTGCAGTGCTTTCAGCAAGTTTTGGGGGAGGCCTGTGGCTGTAGCCGGGGGACTGCCGCACGTCATGTTTGGGGTGATGGCCCTATCTGCTGTCTCCTCCTCCGCCGCGGCAGGACCCGCGATGACGCCACTGCCGACACATTCACATTCCCAGCCACGGGTGAGCTGATTAGCAATGGCTTAGTGTCGTCGGTATCGCCGACACGGCTTACTCGTCATCTGGCGTCAACTTTTTACGATAACCTATCGATATCCGATGATCTTATTTCTGGTATCGATTTCCTATAAATCTAAATCATGTAAACATATATATATATATATATAATATAAATATAAATAGATAACATAAAAGTTAGTATAGGTAAACGAGTACGACGCCTCGTCTCGCATTTAAGGAGTGGGAGATAAACGTCATTAGTGTGTGTCATCAGTTCTGAGATCAGCCAGTAGTAATACCTTATTCCTCGGAGAAAAACCAGGAGAATAGAGATATAGTTGGGTTAATATTTCGGCAGTATGCCTTTACCGAAACAGTAGCAGAAGAGATCGGTCAACTTGAGCCAGTTCCGCGGATGCATGCAAAACAACTTTAAGGCAGCATAAGCGTGATTTGACCAGGTTAGACGCAACGTGTGTGTATATTACAGGGAGGTGACAAAGCCGGGAGCTGGCACATTAACTAGTTGATTTGCGAGCTCCTAGACCTACCGGGGTGTTCACAAATTCCCCGGCATTTGCAAACTCCCTGGGTGGCGGGGCATTTCGAAACATCACAGGCAGGACTTTCAAAAACTTTTTTCACTGTTTCAAAAACTTTCAGAAAGTTGGTGCAAATCCCCGGGATCTATGCAAAACCCGACTTTAATTGCACTGGCTAATAGAATAACACTAACTCGTCATGCATTCGGGAAGGGGGCACAGCAGACATATATTCCTCTAACGCATTAAATCGCGCGCCGCCTACCTGTTCGTCACTCGCTGTTTGCTGCAGTGGCACCACATCTGAGGTGGACGCTGTGTCATGTTGCACACATTAAATACTTTACCTCCACCCAAGGAATGCAATATTCATGCCTTTCTTGGGGCCTTGCAAGGCAGTTTTGTGGTTTTACTGAAACCACGCAGTCTGCCTATGTCGCTCAAATAAGGGGCTTTTGAGAATGATTCAAAACTTGTAACCTAAGCTGGACGTTCAACATTATAGAGCTGCCTATATTCCCTTGGATAATAGTCCAGCCTAAAGGCAAGGTCAGCTGCCAGGAAGGTGCGACGCATTGGGCGCCATGCGCTGAGATTGGCCAAAGCCTGGTCCACGATAGCTCTGGCAACGATGGGCACAAGAAGCAACCTTTATGGCCGTCTTGCACTGAAGAGTCAGCGCTGTCATCAGTTTGTCAAGGATGTCTGAGGTAAATGATGTTCTGTGTGTTTCGATGCAATGAGTTACATTACAGCAGTTCAAACGGATCAGCAATGATTGTGATCGTTGTAGGGCATATTCAAGCTGAAGAAGATGATGATGATGGTGACGGTGATAGCTAAGGATGATGGGCTGTGATAGCTGCTGGCATAATATACATTTCGATGGGGAGACGCTTGTGCCTAACTAGACACTGAACAACAAATGGCACTAGGATACATACTTGGAGACAGTATTGACAGCCATATTCCTCGTAAAATAAACAGGAGAGTGGAGAGATAGGCATGATATTTCGGCTACATGGCTTTATCGAAACGAATATCAGTAGGAAATTTGCTACTGATGTACAGACCGCAGGATTTCTATCGTCTGCACGGTTATCGCAAAAATCTGTGCATGGTGTACAACCACAAACATTTTTGACGCAATCAGTCTTACATGTCTATCTCGAATTCTTAAATGGCAACATTTATGCACATGCATATTGGAGTCTAAAACATAATTTATATCAGGGGGAACAGAAGCCCTCCATGCACACTCCTTAATACATCATTGGCTTCTACCACTTCAGTGTGATGCAAAATTAAATTCTGTGTTTACATGTAACCTAGGGATGTCGCGGACTCCCTACAAAGGAGCCTGAAAACTTCCTAGATGTTTGCGAAGTCCCTGGCGAACCAACTAGCTTGCAAACTCCCTACGGCAATCCGCGAACACCCTGGCATGCCAGGAAATTTTCTAGTTCTCCGGACAGTTTCCTATTCCCCAATACCTGTAATACAACATATGTAACCGCATGTGATCCATTAGATAACTTAAAGATTATGAAAGGGATAGACAAGGTACACCTACAGGGCACTGGAGAGTAGGCCGAGACTTAGAGGAAACTAGCCTCAATTAGCAAAAGGTAGGAATAGAGATGAAAAGTAGGAGTAGAGATGAAGATGAACTGTGAAGAGGCAGATGTCACTCAATCAAAGAATAGCGTATCACTGGAATTGACTGCAACACGAAGTTGTAGAAAGTCCCTCTTTTAGCATTATCAAATCACTGGGACAAGTTCTATCGGTCCAAAGATATCATTTAAAGCTAAATTCAGGCAGGTCAGGTGGTGAGATCAGCGTCGAGAATGTGTACAAAGCCTAGGGCAGGCCAACCTCGCTTGGCCCTTGTGGCTCTTTGTTAGCCTGCCATTTCGTCTTTATCTTTAAAATACTGGTTTGAAGATCCCGTATCGGCTCCAGCACTTGCCTTCATTTGTTCATCGGGCTTGGAATCAGGATGGGGACGTAGTATACCGCCCAACGTCACCAAGCTGCCCAAGTTGCAGAGAGGGTTACGACGCAAGCACGGTCCTTCGTTATCAGCAAACGTCGCAGCTCATTCAAACCCAGCCAGGTACTCCTCAGAAGCGCCAGTTTAAAAAACATTGCCCTCGCCATTATATTCTCAGCTTTTCACCATTTATACAAAGTTCTGAAAACGAGTGCCACGGCATTGGAAATCGCAGTTTCACCGGACACAACGCTCCACGGCAACCACACATGCGCAGTACAGTCGATGAAGCCCAACCACGGAACACCACATCACCGAGGCGATTCCCGCAGGATGGGCAAGCCCAAATGAGTACAGTCCATCCGAAATGAGTGTCTGATGGCGATACAGTGAAATAATAGACGGTGTTTGTTGGTTGACGAAAAAGTTGGCCAGAAAATGTAACCGCCCGTCATAGCGTGAAAAACGCGGCCGCTGCTGGTCACATGCCATGAAAAACGCGTGTATCATCGGACGCACTGGTGGCGCACTTCACAATACATGCCCAACGAAGGAACCTAATAGGCTGACGCCCAAAACGGCATCATTCCAGCGAGGTGAAACTATTGTAGACAGCAGCACACTGGTGGCAACACCCTTAAAGCACGTAATTAAGCCTGCTGACCGGAACCAAGCGCCGTATCTCTTCCTGGGACAGTTTGTGTGAGTTCTCCAGGTGTCTGCGCAGGTTGGCCACCTTGCTGGAGACCTTGCCACAGATGACGCACGTCGTCAGGCCTTCATGAACCTTCTTGTGCAGCGCCAGGGAGCTCACGTGGAAGTACTTGCGGCCGCAGACATCGCAGAACAGCGGCCCTGCGGAGGACGAGCGGTGATGACAGACGACGAGAGGAGGCGGCGGTGATGACAGACGCCGAGGGGAGGCGGCGGTGATGACAGACGCCGAGAGGAGGCGCCGCCCTGGCACGGAGCGCCTGGTGGCTTTTTAGGAACGCTTCGCACGCCGTCTGGCGCGCTTTTTAGTCTTTTTCTTCCCTATGTACTGCCAGCGACTGCAGAGGTCACATTGGCACCTACAGGACATGACTCTATTGGAATTGTGACCCAGGTCGTCACGTGGGAGCCGCTAACCAGCCGGCCATTACGCCCGTGGAGTGACTGCTGTTGGATATGGGATCGGAGACGGCACAGCAGGAGGAGCACGCACGTCACCGGCGTCAATCGGTACGCTGACCAGTGACGTCACAGCCCAGCGCAGGCGTGCCGGCAGTCAGCCACAGGATTCGCCAATGCCGCTGAATTGGACCGCAGCTAGCAGGCTTCAGTGGTTTAGCTGCCGTCGGTAGCGCACGAGGTGCGCAACGATGATTCGTGTGTGTGTCATTGCGGCTTGTCAAGACGCATTCAGTTGCTCAGGCTATATGGCGTCGCCTGCCTCTCACCCTGGCAGGAGGAGCGGGAACCGCGGGGAATCGAACCTCACACCTCTGGTTTCCCAGACACGCTGTGGTTAACTCAGACGCGTTAACCACACTACCGGCACCCCCTCAATGATGATTCCAGATCTGATAAGCGGAACAAACTACACTGCAAAAACGCGATTTAGCCCCGCATGTCTTCTGGAACATTTGTACGATAAAGGTTAAGCGGTCTCTTGTTCAATTCTAAGTGGCCTCGCACCCGTTTCGACAGTCACTTCCACTTACGAAATGACATGGTACGATGACTCTCATCAAAGGTAGATGCAGAAGCCCATGGCAGATGCCAAAGGCAGGTGCAAATGCGCACAAGACTGGACAAGACTGCGTACAAACCTACACCACTGGATCAAAGGCAGCTGACGAAAACTCCGCAAGGAGCCTCATGGCGCGGGAATCACGAGCAACAGAGCTCGTAATGATATCCGTTACGTAAAGGGATCATCGTTCTCTCCATGAAGAAAAGACGCTTGGCTCTGGTTTAGGTGATGCTCCGGCACACCACTTGTCTCTTGTCACGGAATTATCTTACTCAAGTCACGTGATATATTTCAAAAAGTGCTTGCGGGGCTGTTATCGATAACTGTTGTCGATTGCTATATAGGCTCATAGTTAACATGCTATGCATTGCCTGACGTGAGTTCCGAGATTAACCCGGTCACTCAGACATAAAATGGCATTAAAGAAGGGTACAGGCCTTGACAACATTACAAAATAATCACATAACACTCTCATGGGCCACTACGCGTCAGGATGTCACACACGCAAAGAAATACAAATGGGTTACAAATCACAGATTTTTCAAACTTACGCCGCGCAGAGATATGAAGAGCAAGATGATAAGTAAGTGATTTAGAGTGCGAATAAGTTGAAACCTGTCGTGCACGTGCAAAAAAGCTTAAAACTTAACTCGCACCAGTCCGTTACGGTTCACTGAATGGTTCCGCAGCTTTTCACGAGTGATACTTGGGAGTGTTAGGACAAAGTGACGTCAAAGGTCATTCACGTCCAATATCGCTGACAAACGGGGGCAGGCAAAACAGTACTGTGTACAGGCGGGATTTTTATTGATCACACGTCAGATCAGGCCCGGTTGCTGTGCCGTCGAAAAACCCGCCAACTCATGACACAGTTGTGCGATCACACACACACCACACACGCACGCACACGCACACGCACACGCACACGCACACACGCACCACGCACGCACGCACACACACACCACACACACACACACACACACATAGATATATAATATATATATATATATATATATATATATATATAATATATATATATAGGTTCGTGTGCATATTACATCGCGCGCATTAAAACCGCCTGTATGATGATGTTTGCTACGGCCAACACAATTTATTCTGTGATTTATCAGTGGAAGTGGACCAGTAAGCCGACATGAATATTAAATACTACCTAGTGGGTTTATGGGTGCTGCAGACCTGATCTAACACGGGGCTCCAAACGCACATGAAATATGAAGGAATTCATGCCTAAATCACAATATTGGATCATCTTTAATCACGCTGTAACAAAACCAGTTGAATCGTTAACACATTTGATGCCTGTATTGATCATTCACTGGAAAAGCGTAAGGCCAAAGCACCAGCTTAAGGCGAGTGCGCAGGTTTGTCCATGGGAACTGGATTACAGCGCACAAAGGGAACAGTTAACACGCGCATAACGCAGCAGCGGGACCCCAGGAGCACCAACAATCAGACATGTGTCTGAAGCTAGAAACAGATTCCAGGATACATATACACGAAACTTTATGACATCCGGGACCTACCCTTGAGACCAAAGACATGTCTGCCAACAATTTAATTAAAATAACTCAGATTGCTCACACTAACGTGCCAAAGTTGAAGTCATTGGGTAAAAGTAACGTCCGATGAGTCGGCTTTTCAGCTCTTACACTCGGTCTTTGCCCTTGACATAACGTTTGCCTGGCGCGATGCGCTGGTAAAAGTGGTCGGTAGTATTCTCATATTTTTTATTATTATTCCAGAACCAATGGAAGTCAACGAAACCACTACGCTGATAACTCATGAAGTAATTGATGAAACGGACAATGAAGCGAGTTATAACCATAAACAAGTTACGTCCATGTAAATATCGGTAAAACTTAATTCCTTGTGATGTGGAAATCTCGTACAAGCCATTTAACTCTTCGAACCCAGCTTTCACACAGGCTGCCATGACCGCGGGTAAGACGGTAGTCTACCGGTTACCGATTACGATTCGGAACGATACTAGCTATGTCTTCCTTGGATAGCTTGTGCACTGTGCGAAGATGCACTCGCAAGTCGAACACTCTGTTTTGCACTTTGCCGCAGATGACACACGTTGTCAGTCCCTGGTGCACTTTTTTGTGGAGCTTCAAAGAGCCGGTGTGGGAGAACATTCTGCCGCACAGATCGCAGGAGACGGAACCTGCGAAGCACAGACCGCAATGAGTGGTTCGGAAGCTAAACTCTGTAAAACAATGAATTTATCCACATTCGAAAAATAGATGATCAGAAATCGCATGACGGGCTTGACTGTGGTCGGGTATTACTGGAGCCTGGAATCAGACAGCGTTTTCGCCACGAAGCCGACACATCAGTAATAGTGTCAAAGACCCGCCAACAGCTTGTTGAGGTGCGGAAATGCTGCTGTTACGGCGTTTACTGCAGCGAAATTACTGCTGACATCCACAGGTGGCATGTGTCTAAGAATTAAACCACGTGTGCCAAGTTATGTTTCCCAAGAGCTTGCCCTGTTACATCAGTAGGATCATTCGACGTTGCTGTCAAGCTTCTGAGGCAATGTCGCGAAAGAAGCGGATGAGGCCGCAAATGTGTCCCGACACGATGAATCTCTCGACTTAACAAAGCTCTTTCAACACTATGAGATGAGTGCTTTCATTTTCCAATGGAGGCCATCTTTGCAATCGCATTCTTTCAATTGCTCCTTCCTTCTGGTTCTCCCTGTCTGCTGTAGAACTGATTCACATATCTTCTAGATACCGAGTTCCATGTTTATTACGGCAACACAATATAAAAATGAAAACAAACCACCATCCACCACGGCATACAAACATGGGGACGCCAAAGACATGTCTGGGTGACAAGTTTCTCCACACGTCCGGACAATTTGACAAAATACTTTTGGTGTGGCAATGAAACGCATTAAAATCACCAACGTCCCCTCAGTCGGCAACTGCCGGAGAACTCCGTGAACGCAACCAACACCGCCCGGCAGACGTACACCAGGGAACTGACAACAGGGGAAACACAATACAATACACTGGAAACAAACCACCAGAAACAGTATGTATTGAGCTTCGAGCCAAATGATTTCCACAGATTGAACATTCGGTCTTCAGAGAATCATACGGACAAAGATCACTGCTAGGCTTGCACGTATATGCTAGTCGCGTGATGGGACGTTGGCGTATGCGTGATCGCGTCTCTGCGCGCTTTGCATACGCGTGCTTTTGTGCCGAGGCATGTGCAGGTAGTGTCCATGAACGTCTCGCATACACATTTTCCAAACTTCCACCAAACGATCGATAACAAGATGACGGGCAAGGTTGTGGCGCCATTAAGTCTCAACGTTTGCGATGTGGAACAATTTTCTTGACGTCGTCTTTTGACAGCCGATGAACCTGGCGCAGATGCGCCCTCAAATCGGCCACTTTGTTGAGCACCTTTCCACAGAGCGCACACGTCGTCAAGCCCTCGTGCACTTTCTTGTGCAGCCCCAGAGACACGGCGTGCGCGTAGAACCGGCCACACACGTCGCAGGCGAACGCACCTGGGGAAGGTGGAGCGTCAGGTGACTGGAGCGTTCAACACTGGCGTGTTACTTGCATGGCAGCAGCCCCGCCCCGGCAGGTGATCATCTGAACAGCATGCTTCCACGCATGTCCAGCTGAAACGACTACCAGCCATGTTCACCTGACACAAGCAGTTCCTCACAGCCAAGCGCTCTAAAAACCTAGGCAGACCGTTGAGTAGACCGTTGAGTTTGATGTAGCTTTCAAGGGACTTCCAGATAAGTATGGAGTTCTGAACTGACACCTATTTTCAAGACCGCTGTCTGCCGTTCACAGCCATGTCCTATTTCAGACTTCAAACTCCTTGCTTCTAAGCTTGACGCATGCGAACCTGTGCAACCTATTTCGCGCCGCCTATCTGAAAGTTATTCAACACGTACGACGCCACAGCAGCGTCGCGCGAGTGTCCCCACCTCGCTGGTTGAATTATGTCCATAGTAAAAATAAGCCCACCAAAAGAGTCCTTTTTGCAGTCATTCAGCTCCAGTGTACCAAAGATGGCAAGCAATTGGCCAGCATGAATATTTAGCTGCCGATCGCATGTATCGATTACGAACCGCGTTTTGTGAGAAATAACGCAGGCATTCAGGCAGAAGCACTGGTTATGACGAGCATGAAGCTGAGAATCGTCGTAACCGTCGTAACCGTAACCGCTGAAAGCGTCGTAACCGAAAATTCAAATGTAGGTCATGAAGAGACCATCACGGGAAAATATACAAGTACACCACGAGGCATGGTAAAAAAACAAACACGTTCATATCACGCAAAAACGAAAAATGTATGCGTCTTGAACAACGCCACCCTGCAGCGCGAAGAAGCACAACGAGTAAGTCGGACAACGACTCTTACGGCATAAAACGTCCCACGACGTAATCAAACGATGACGTATTGAAAAGCATGCTTACTAAAGACTAAAATTGTGTTGTTTAGAGCACCTTTTGCACTTAAAAGCATACCAATAGCCCAAGTGTGCTTTTTCAATACATGTGATGCTTGCCCCAATATCTTCAAATGTGGAACGGTCCATTTAAGTGCCAGGTGTCCTCACGTGGACAATCTGTCCACTCACCTTTCCACATATGTCACAACAAAGCGCCGCGCTACTGACTGTGTATCCAGGATTCGTACGCCTTTCCCATGGCTCTTTCTACACGCATTACAGGCGGGTGTTGACACATCAGCTGAGTCGTTGGTACTGGAACCACGCCTAGAGCGCACCGGACCAGGGATGTTCGGAAGCGATATTGCCAGTGAACTGAGCATAAGCACACGCCCTGGTCACCAGATCGCCCCTCCGCAGGCTGGCATAAAGATACCAGCACGCTGATGTAGATCAGCGCTACGGCAAATATCCGACGAAATGCGCAGAGCTGGATGGCGATAAATGGAATCAGTAAGAAGACTGAAAGGACGCCACGTCCAGTAGACTGTCAAAGGTGGTCATGTACTTCACCAATCACTAAAAGGAGATAATCATTCGCCATCTCAGAACGCGAAGACTTGATTTACGCGTCACCATGGACTTCTCTTTTCCGCACTTCTTCTTCGAATGACCTTATCACCTAACGAAGATTGACTGCCATGTTTCGCTACTTTTAACCATTTTCTGAACCATTACACAACCTTTGAACAGTGCGTTTAAGGACACAGGAGGGAAAACGGAACATTAACGCGCATGAGCTAAAATGTACATATAACCAAGAACTGAACTAGTGCTATGTGAGAACGCCATTCACCAGTCACGCACGGAACAAACCATTCAACACTTACAATAAGCGGGACAAGCACATGCCAGGGAATACCATTCCCTGTCTCCGAAAGCGTAGATTCTGGCATGATGCCATATACTTCAGTCGTATAGAAGAAGCCAACTGTCTTGTCGGAATTTATTTTAAAAGTCTATATGCACAGTCGTCGAAGACACATCCGCAACTAGTCGCAGCTTAATACTTAAGTTGTTTGGGACGCGGCGCCACATCAGGAAGTCATGATGAGCACAATAACTCAGACCACATATACTCAGCTAACAGGCGAGTGGGACTGGTGTCGTCTCCTTGCAGACATGCGATAACGCCTTTTGTGATAATCAAACATGCTTGGCGATGATTCTCAGTCAGACTGTGCTCACGTGTACACGGGCTCGATGGTCGACATCACATCCCCTTTATGAGTTCGTACGTTGAAAATGACCAACCTGCAATGCACCAGATAACCAGCACTGCTTGAACGACCATATCACGAAAACATTGGCATACCTGCATTGAGTTAACTGAACCGATCTTAACTATCATCAAAACACATTGCCAGTGAACCTTTGCCACATACGGCCATTTTAAAACCTCTACAGTATCAGTACGTCCCGGCACACTATACGCCGGCTATTTCCAATATAAAAACGTGTAATGACGAAACGCCTGTGGTTAGATGCCTTGCTCATATGAAATTACATTTCGATATTTAAAGCAATGCGTCGTAAATGAGATAAAATGAACATGAACACGATCCGTGGCAAACCGCGGCCAACAGCCGAGCCCGACATCCTCCCTTCCAAGCTAGGCTCACAAATCGGGCTTGCACGTGGCTCTAGCCTCGTTGGCACCTGTCGTGCATCTTCAGGTCACAACTGGTGGTCGCCTGTCGCCGCCGCGGTCCTGCAGCACCCGTCCGAGCAGCAGCTTCAGACGGCGGCACCGCTGCGCCTGCTCGGCACCAGGCTCCAGATGTGCTCGGCCGACAGGTGGTGCACCTTCTCCATGTGGCGGCGCAGGTGGGCCACGCGGCTGGCCACTACGCCACACACGGGACACGTGGTCAGGCCCTCGTGCACCTTCTTGTGGTGTTCCAGCGAGAGGGCGCGCGAGTACAGCCGGCCACAGATCTCACAGGCCACACCGCCTGGCGAGACAGAGCACGCTCTTAGACATGGGCGGCGGCAGCACCGGAGCCACGGTACATGGGGCGGCGCTGGGCGGGACCTCTGAACCGATACTTGGATTTTGTCACCCTTCTTGACCACCAAGAGCATCAACGGCGAATCAAGCTGCCAGGGGCCATACCAGTGTGCGTTCTTGCAGCATGAGCACCAGAGGTGTCGTTTCCTGTTCAACCCCCCCTCCACACTTGAGCTACAGCCCCCCCCCCAACATTGAGAAGAAAGTGGGCCAAATTGGAGAGAAACCCGTCTGTTGACGTTTCGGGGTATACTGCATATTTGTTTTCACTACAACGCCCCGCCCCCCTACATTCATTTCGCGAAACTATGCCCCTGATGACCATCTATTGTCTTGCACCCATAAATCAACATACCGAGTACAAACTATGCGCATAGGGGGTGCGAAGCGAGGTCCCCGCAGCCGGTTACATCACTTAGTTCGCGACACTTAGGAAAACGCAGAACGCAATGAGCATCACGACTTGCCAATAAACGCTCTAAGGAGCGATGTCACACTGCAGTGGGTGAGACCTCGTTTACTTCGCAATACACGTGATCATTGATCCACAGCCCCAGGTCCTCCACGATCAATCCACAGCACATAGCGAGCCTTCCTGAGGAGACCTCTAGGCCCGTCACGTCTATTGTTACCTTACATGTACGTTCACTCGAGCATCCTCA